CATCCAACCTGAACCATCCAACCAGAGCCGTCCAATAAGTGCTGTCCAACCAGACTCATCCAACCTGAACCATCCAACCAGAGCCGTCATTTGACCAGGTCTCTCTTGAAGAAGAGATTTTTAATCTCAATGAGATCTACCTGGTTAAATAAAGGTATTCATTAAAAAATCTATATACAATAATAAAAAATACAAATCAGAAATAAAATGAAAGGCAGCAGAAAGAAGACAAAATCTTATGTCTGCCCCTATTTTCCAAAAATCTAAATTCAAACGATAATTTACAAATAAAAACATCAGCTACTTCTCAGTAATAGTATGGACACACATTTCTTCAACAAACCAACTTTTATCATTCTCTTAAACTRATCTGACATTTTCACATCACTCTCCAGATATTTCCATAATCTTATTCGTTGGACTGAAGACCACCGCTCCTTCAAACAGATTCTAAATTATGGCTTTACAAACATCTCTGTCCCCATGAGATTTTAACCAGTCTCTATGTCTTTACATAATTTAACTGGATGTTTAAATGTAACATGTTTTTGTGAACCGTATATGTAACCAATAAGATACAGATCAGACAAATCATTGAATTTCTATATTTTCAACTGGTAAAATAATGTATTTGATGGTGACTCCAATGTTTTCTAGTGATAAATCTTACAGCTCTTATCTGGAAAACAATAATGGGATTTGCAATGGTTGTGTTCAAATTCAGAGGCTGTGTCCTCCAAAGGACCCGGTCTACCTGATCTAGGTGGGCCGGGTCTTTGGTAGACCGTGCAGACCAGAAGCTGATTGGTTCCTGCAGAGATTCTGATCTCGGATTGGCAGCTTTAAGATTTCTGTTAAAACAACTTTAAATATTGAGACACAGCTGTGTCCAAAACAGCAGGACCCAGCCTACCTGGTTGAGGTGGGCCAGGTCCTTGGTAGATCGTGAAGACCGGAAAAATGTGGCTGTGAATTTGGATGGTCTAACCTCCTGTCCTTACCCCGGCATACGTCCTGTTGCCTGGTAAACGTGACAACRCTAAACAGAAGCAAAATTAGATCGAAATTAGAAAAATTTCAATATATTAACGTTATTAATATCGCAAAACAACAAAATTAGCTTGAAGGTAATATTTGAAGAATGGACCTGCCGTAGGTGCATGTTTATTTCTCTACAACAGCTTGTTTGATTTCTGACAAAAATAATATTAAAAACGTTTTATACAAATGACGAAAGTATAACAAAAAAATTGTGAAGTTACATTCAGTTCAAGGAAGAGTATTGTACTGAACTTTATGTAAAATTAAATTTATCCTGAAAACAACGGTCCCTTTGTGCCCAGATCAGAACAGGTAGCCTGTCCCTGGCAGTGGGAGTGGGTACAAAGGTCTCCCTGAAGAGGAGACAGTTTGTGTTCTGCSTGATCTTAATGTACTGGAAGATGACTGACTGATTTTATTCTCTACTGTCCTTTGTATTCTGATTTAAGATTTTCTTTAYTTGAATGTATGAATAACCATAACGTAGATGTATTTTGTTTTTCTGAGGAAAAAAATTGATGTTGGATTTATAATAGGGAAATTTTTGCATTTGTTGTTTTTGTTTGTAAAGCCTGGGTAAGAAGACAGCATGTTCTGTGTCCTGGATGAGTTTCTGATTGTGATGATAATATTTTTTGTGGGGCTTGTTATATGAATGTAGCCATCCTGTTATGTTTTTTATGTGTGGAGTGTCCTATAAGCCCTTGAGGGCTGGGCATCAGTAAAACATATTCCTGTCTCTTGCTTTGTCTGCCATTACTAGCATAAAAAAATCTCAGATCGGCCCAMAATGCATTATGGGAKATGGTGGGCCGGGAAGGATCAATCAGACCAGTCCTTCAATTCGGGGCAAAAGAAGGATGTATTTGTGGGCCACATTGGTGGAGTCTTCGGATTTGGACAGCCTCCGGTGTGATGCTATGACATAAGCAGCCGACAAATTCTGTCTTTGGAGGACCCGCCCTCTGGATTTGGTCACAGCCATGGTTTCCCCCAGTCAACAGTACAGTAGATCAAGTCTGGAACAWTTATTGCATTTTACACCATATACAGAGTTTATCATTGAAGGACTCATTCACTTTAGACAGTACTGCAATAGATTTAGATATTTTAATTCTTAAATTATTTATGTGAGCTGTCCAACCATAGCCAACCAACCAGACCTGTCCAACCAGACCTGTCCAACCAGACCTGTCCAACCAGACCTGTCCAACCAGACCTGTCCAATCTGAACTATCAAACCAGAGCCATACAACATGAGCTGTCCAACCAGACCTGTCCAACCAGACCTGTCCAACCAGACCTGTCCAATCTGAACTATCAAACCAGAGCCATACAACATGAGCTGTCYAACCAGAGCTCTCCAACTTGACCAACTCTAATCACAGTTGACAGGTAGTCCCAGGTGAGAGGTGGTCTCGGGTGAACTCAGGTAATCAATGACCAACAAAAATAGACAGGATTTACTTGAATATTGTCTGAGTGCTTGTTTTTCTCACCTTGAACAAAGTCATCTAGACTTTGATTGACACCTTGAGATTGATTGACATCTGCTTGATTCTTAATAATGGCTGAGGATCGATAAATGATGTGCTTTTGCCCTTCATCCTCCTCCTCCTTTCCTGGCTTCCACTGACCCAACGGTTCAATGAAAAATTCATCTTTACCCGTCCGGATCATTCCGGCCTGGAGACACAAGAGACCATTATCAATTTAATGTTTAACACATTTCTACTGTTCACCACATCTACTGTTTAACCCACACCTACTGATGAACACACATCTATCGTTTAACCCACTTCTACTGTTTAACTTACATCTATTGATTAACCCACTTCTACTGTTTACCATCCCTGTTTTGGAGAAACAATTGATACTCAGCTGATCCTGGTACTGGATATTTGGACCAGTCCTGTTAGGAGGCCTTGACCAATCCTGTTCTGGATTTTTGGAAAAACCCGGTTCTGGATATTTGGGCCAGACAGTCTTGTTCTGGATGTTTGCTTCAACCCTGTTTTGGATAGTTTGGACCAGCCCTGTTCTGGCGAAACAGCTGTGTAATGAAAGGTTTCAGTTGACACCTACCAATCCATCACAGTTGCTGATGGCAACAGATGTGTCCTTCATGTTTGACACCGTTCCTGTGTAGAAACATCCCACATCTCTGATTGGCTCAGAATAACGGTGTCCTGACTCCTCCCACTCTATGGTGGCGGTGGGGGCGATGAGGCGAGTGTTTCGATGCAGCTGCAGGTGGAGCTCTTGATTGAATACGGTCACATTGTAGAAAAGCTCAGCCTCGTCTTCTCCTTCATAACTCTGCCCCCTCCAGTCAGGGCTGGATGTTGACATCCACATGGGCGAGGCTTCTTGTTTTAAGGGCGTGCCTGTCTTCACATTGTTTGAGTCAGTGGGTGTTCCCTCTGCTGTGGGGGCGTGTCTCTTGCTGCGGTGCAGTTGGGCAGAGACTGTTGTTGATAGGAAACGGCCTGCTGAGTCAGTTCTGATCGGATGAATGATGCTGAACTCTGACAGAACCTTATGGAGAGACTCTGAGAGACAAAAAAAGAGAAGTTTAGTTTTTGTGCCTTAATCATCAAAATGCAGATGGTTTCTTTTGGCTGCTTCCTTCTTCATGRATTGATACAGCCAGAAAACTTCATACAAAGGATTTGAATTGTTTTATGCCGGATGCCYTTCCAGATGCAACCTGGGCTAAAACCTGCAGATTCAGAATTTCTGCAACCCCTTTCACCAGAATCAAATTTATAAACTTGCAGTGAGTAGCTAATCAGAAGGATACTTAACCTTTGATAACAGGTGTTCCTCAGAGATTGGTCTGAGGTTCAGGGCTAATTCTTATTTAAAATCAATCTGAATAAAGACAACTTTGATGCTCATGTTACACAATATGCTGATGATACACTGCAGCACACCTCAGCTGATTTAAAACTAGTTTCAAACACTTCTGGATGGTCTAAATTATGAAATTTGAAGTTGATGTAACACACATGTGGTTAGAACTTTATCACAGTCTATCCATGCTCTAYCAATCCATGCAGCCATTTATCTTCTACCATTTATTTTTGGTTAAGTTATTGAGGCAACAGATTTAGAAAAGAAACCCAGACCTCCACCTCCACAGTGACACACTTCAAAACAAAACAAAAAAAAAATACATAATCCCTCCAGCAAGTTCTGATTCTGCCTTTGTGTCTTTASCCATTGGGACATGCCCAGTAAACCTCTGGGAGACATCCTAATCAGATGTCCAAACCTCAACTGACTAAAGAAAATGAGACTAACTAATGAACAACTGCACTAATCAGAGCTTCCCAAGTATGACAGAGCTCTTTAGACTATTTCTAAGGCTGAGACAGGCCAACCTACAAAGGAGGCTCATTTAAGCCACTTGTATCCAGGATCTCATTCTTTTAATCATGATCTATTCCTTGTGACCACAGAGGAGGTTTGTATTGTATACAGAGCAGGACATCTAGAACTTTTTCTATTAAMTTAATCCTTTCTTAATCATAGTTGACCAAAGCAATGCACTCATTTCTGYGAATGAGGCACTGATCCATCTCCCGCTCCAGTCTGCCATTACTTGTGAACAAGATACGTGAACTCCTCCACGACGCAAAGACTCATCCCTTACTTAGACACAGCATTCCACTCATTTCCAGCTGAGCACTATGGCCTCAGATTTAWAAAAGCTGACTCTCATCCTAACTGCTTCTCACTTGACAACAAATTGTCCCAATTCACACTGAAGATYTTGGTCTGAAGATGCCAAAAGAACCACATCATCCACATAAAGCAGRGATGAGATCCTCAGGTTCCCAAACCACATTTCCTTTTCTCCATAACTGTGCCTGGAGAGCCTGTCCATACACACTGCAGAGTCAGGGACAAGATACAGCCTTGGCAGAGTCCAATCTGTGTAAAGAACAAGCTTAACATTGTGCCATGAAWGTRGAAACAGATCMTACTTTGGGTCTACAGGGACCAAATAGCTCTTAAMGCCAACCCTGGCACACCATGCTCCCACAGCACTGCCCATAGAGCACCTTGAGGAACACAGTCACAAGCTRTCTTCWGGTCCACAAAACACAAGGGGACTGGAGAATCAAACTCCTATGATCCCCTGAGCAACCCTACACACTCTGTTATTGAGTGTAAGCTTAAGTGTACTTGGTACGTGCTACCCACTACCCCTATGGACAACCCTAAGCTCAAACTGTGTTTGTTATGGACAGCCGATGCCTAGCTCAGAGGTCCACTAACAGAAAACAGCTCAGGTTTGGATGAGGGAGGTTGTKTCTCCTAATCACCCCCATCACTGACAAACCAAAATGGAGAACAAGAAAAYCCCCTTTCAGGAAACCACCCATAAGTTCCAAAAAGGYCAGATAATATAAACTGCTGTTTGGTGTATAAGCACAAACAACAGTCAGARTCTTCCTCCTGCARCTCAAAGYCACAGAGAGGCAACCTTCTCATTCAATGGGGAAAACTCCAACACAAAGGCATTCAGCCAGGGAGTATCCCCAAATAAACACATCTCTACCAGGGCACTCAAGAGTATGAAAAACCAGTATTTGTTAAGATTCTTTACCTGCTCTCTGGATCTTTACCTCCACAAACCTGACACCACAAACCTGACACTTTAGTGGTTTAGGATGAATTGGACTCACATTGWTTTGAATGTATTTCCAGAAATTGCTCATCTCTGACAGAATTTGGCAACAACAGCTTTAATTTCACGCTTCCAAAAGAAACTTTCAACCTTTGTAGGTTGTTTTGGATTCAGTTCAGCATTTTTGGGTTAGGATGWGAATTTAAATCATATTTCAGTTGTTTTGATCCATTATTCTCCAAACACCCTCACATCTTCTCTAAGATTGCTTKTTTAATCTTCTATCCTTCTGGGAACTTTGCATTGACTTCTATTTGTTGACCAGTCATTTCTRTAGCCTAACCCTGACACCTGATCCTAAACCTAAYTTCACAGGTACATACCTGACTCTAAACCTCACCTAAACTCAATTCACACATYAGTCCTAACCCTAACCCYTGACCCAACAATGGTATTTATACCAAATGGGATCAGGCACCAGGGGTCAATAGGATTTGACCAGAGTTCCTTAAGGCTCTGGATGTTGTGGGATTGTGTGGGTTGATGCGACTCTACAATTTCGCGTGGACATCGGGGGCAGTTCCCCTGGATTGGCAGACCGGGATGGTGGTCCCCCTATTTGAAAAGAGGGACCATAGAGTGTGGTCCAATTATAGGGGGATCACACTTCTAAGCCTCCCTGGTGAGGTCTATTCAGGAGTTCTGGAGAGGAGGGTCCTTCAGATAGTCGACTCTTTGATTCGGGAAGAGCAGGGTGGTTTTGGTCCTGGTTGTGGAACAGTGGACCAGCTCTACACCCTCAGCAGGGTCCTGGAGGGTTCATGGGAGTTCAATCAGTCTACATGTGTTTTGTGGACTTGGAGCAGGTATTTGACCATGTCCCTTTGGGACTCCTGTGGGGGGTACTCCGGGAG